GCTTGCCATCCGCTCCCTTAAACGCTGCTCGCCCCGCACGAGCCACCTTTAGCGCAGGCAGAGCAAACCTCAGAGATCAGTGCAGCGCGTACATCGTGCAGCAGGTCCTTGCCCGGCGTCATTGTCCACGTGGCAGCAATGTGCACCAACGCCACCTTTGTGGTTTCTCTGCGCGCCTCTATCCTGATAGCAATTTTGGGGGGTCCAGCCTTCGGGTTTCTTACAACACAAAAACCAAGGGTGCCCTTCTTTTTTCACGATAGCAGTAGCTCCCTTTTATTTTGCCACCAGCACCCGATCTGCCCCCATGTCCAGAATTTTCACGAAGACCCCAACCGGTACCTCCCTTTTGCTCGTTGGAGTTGTCGTCCTTCTTTGCACCGCATCCAGCACCACCAAAGCCACGTTCTCTGCCACGTCGGCTCTCTTGCATCCCATAGCCGCTGCTGTGGTCGTCTACACCCCTCAGTTGGCGGAGACGAAAGTCCTCCTCCAGAATCTCGTCCGCACCCACCCAAGCCTCCACACGCTTTGGTTCTGCTATAGGCTCAATCGGCTCATGAAATGAAGCCACGATTCCGGCAGCAGCGAGAGCGTCTTCAAGCACTTGGTCTGCTCCGGATAGGTGGTTCCCACAGTCACCAACTTCGCGTAGAGGTCGCGCATCTTGTCCAGGACAGGTTGCACCGGCTCAGGCAGCACCACTAGTTTCCAAGTCATATTCTGTTGCTTTGGTACTCAGCATCCCTAGAAGCCAGCCACTTGTCCCTATCTGGTCCAGCTAATGCATCCTACATACTACCTAGTTCCTTTGCTGTAGGGGCAGGAAAACAATACCAGGCTCGTCCTCCTCATCCGGATCATAACCTTGAGGCAAAATCAGCAACACCTCTCCATTTCCCAGCTACTGCTCTGCTACATCAGCTCTTGCAGTTAGCCTCATAGTGGCCATACGGGTACGTCCTGGCCTTGAGACGAGTGTCTCCCACCCCTTCATAACGACACCCTTCGGCTTCCTCATTCCTGGTAGTCTAGGAACCTTAGTTTTTCCCTGCTGCTGATCTATTTCCTCGGATCCAGCAACTCCACCAGTGGTACTACTAGCCTCTACATCACCTCCTCCACTAGCTGGCATCTCTTGTACCCTCTCTCCATCACTACCCTCTGCAGCTGCCTCCTCTCCCTCCTCCCGTACACTAGGGGTGAGGTCCTTCTGCATGTTGATCTGTCCGATCTCCTATGATACCTTGGCCTACGGCTGTTTCTTCCAGACCCTATACATCAGACCCTCAACAAATTTCACATCCATACTGTCAAACAACACGCCCTTACGTGGTTCCCACAGCAGCCATCCCTTGCTCGCAACAACCATTGATCGGATTAAGCCAAGAATTTGCTTCAAGAGCTTTTGAATAAGCCAAGTTGCCTCGCGAAAAAAATTGCCATTACGAAGTTAAGGCTCGGACAGCGTTTGCCTAGCATTGACCCGGTAGCATTCTGCCGTCGCACCGCATAGAACCAAAATTCCAGCAAGGAAGAAATTCACTTGAATCAATTACACTATATCCAGATTACAAATAGGGAAGTATTATAAAGCTAGAGCCAGCAAGGACGTTGGGAATCAAGCCGGGAACAACCAGGGATGATCCCAAATAACTCCAAGAAACAGATTCACCCTGGCTTGACAAAACAGAAAGTCGGAGATTGGTAAACATTCGCAGGTTCTGTTTTTCCAACCTGGGATAACACCAACCAGGTTCAGGTTCTGAAAACAAAACCATATTTTTCCTTGTACAACCAGACGATAGTTGGTTCCGTTGGTCTCCCCTAGCCCTGTAGCATACAGATATTCCAAAACAGCATCCAACCTTTACCTAATTGTACCAATATTGTGCTTGCTCTAGCACACTATATCTAACCAAACAAAACAGTACAATTTCGAGTTGGATATAATTGAATCTGCGCATTCAAATCAACCGAACTGTAGTTCGTCCTTTCTGCTTGCGTTGTTCATAGTGCGTACAATGTTATGCCAAAGCATACATTGCGCGAGCACCTGAAAATTCGTCACACGCATATCCATACGAACAGATGGCAAAGTGTTGTGCAATGTGATTTTTCACCCAACATGCACGTGACGGGGCACATCACGCCAAACAATTGCGAGCACCTGCGAAGCGGATGCGTTGCTGTCATGCGGATGCAATGCTGTGCAGCCACTTTGCTGCAGCGTTGGCATGCCGTCGACTTGCAACGTTGGCAAGCCGCCTTTCTGCAGCGCTAGAGCGGTGCGGTCTTTGCTACGCTGGAAGGCGGTCGACCATGCTAGCTTCTGATATAGTCATTGTTGCTTCGCTTTTGTCAACCATTATTTACAACGTTTGCTAGTGAAACTCTTGCCAATTCTTCCCGTGACTGTGCGTAGAGGAAACACGAGCAAACGCTAAAGAACAATACGACCACTTTCTGAACCGTGCCTTCCTAATAGTCTAGCCCCCCTTGTATGATTTATCTCCGCAATGTGCCAGGGGCTCCCAGAGTCAATGACCCAATGGGTGAGGGGATGAAGGAGAAGCTTGGCAGCCATAACGGGTTCAGTCATGCCTTCATTCACAAAGAAGAAATCGGCCTTCCGCTCTTCAAATTTGCCATCTTTCTCGTTATCCTTCTCTTCTCCACTACATCCCATGACTCCCCCACGCTTCTTACCACCATTCTAGGTTGTTTGAAGAAGGCGGGATCCAATCTTGGGCCAGTTGCTAACATTTTCTCCAACGATGGCCGCGCTTCTTGCAGAAGAAGCACACCTCCACACTTTCCACCTCCAACTCCATAACTAGCACCAACCCCTGAGTGCTCTACACTTCGGCACCTCAAATCTTCTTCAAAGATTCGTTCACGAATGTCGTCCATACGCCATTGGGGTCACTGGGACTCGAGGTTGATGGCTAGGGCAGATCACGACTGAAGAATTTGGATCACAATCTCCACGCATTAAACAAGCTCAGGGTAGACAACGCCACCACCCTGGAGCTTTGCAAAGATGCCGCTCATCTCATCTAACACGGGCTGCATTCGCTCTCCATCAACAAACTTCATGTCGCTTAATCGCCACAAGGGTAGCACAATGGACGTAGTATGTGAGCATGTCTTGCTCTCCAGCCTCTCCACTCCTTGCCATTCCATCATTTGCACCTCTCAAGTCCGTCTCAGCCATCAAGAGGCTTTAGGTACGGTGGAATCTTGAAAAATTCGCTTGGACAGGATTCTGTCAATAATATTGCTTTTACAATAAACCCCATCAGGTTAGTCTACTGCGAATTCAAATTCCAATCCATAGGTTACGAGGAGAGCTACAATAAAATGGTCTCACTCGTTAAAATCAATTGAGATTTGATGACAATTTGCCACTTTGAAGTCGACCACCAGCTCACTTACTGCATTGGATCCCTCACTTTGAAGACCTATGACGAAATAAAACATCAACTAAACGCAAATCCACTTAGTAAGATTATGCGCGCTGGTATTAACTACCACCTCGAAGTTAAATCATGTCAAAAGGTGGTCCAGGTAGTGAGAATTGCTTGAAACCGTATAGCTGCTGCTTTCACCAGAATTTGTGGAAGACGAACAAACATTAGGCATACAATTATAATAGTTGGGGGTTCAAGAGAACCTTGTGAGAGAAGGGCTTTCCAAATGCTAGGGAAGGATGGTAGAAATCTTCCTCGCATCAAAGATGCAACCTCCATTATGAGGTCCTTGAGGTGTCACATGCAGAATCCAATTTAGTTGGATTCTGTATATGTGTTGCAACATTTGCAACCCATGCTAGAAAATTAACCCCAATCCAAAAATTGAAGTTGCTTTCCCAACCCATGCTAGAGATCCCTTTTTAATCGTGTCATAATAATCGCCCAATGTAGATAAAATTCCAAAGTATTGGAAATCATTTAAGTTAGGCGATATTGGTCGGAAAAATGCGATCTTGGTATCTTTGGAAGGTCTGGATTCCTCCGGCGCGATAAAGCATTTAGACCTGAAAAACTCAGAGCCATGCATAATGAATTATGCTCATGAAGACAATGCAGCCATGGATTGCACGAGCACACGGAAGTTAGTTAGGTGTCAGGCTTATATGACTTAGCCTATGTAGACTATAGTGGGGTAGCACATATGAGGTACAACACATTTCTAGGGTTTGTACTTTTACCAACTTTCCCTTAGTCATTTCATTCCTCGTTTCTTATCATGCTATCGAGCAGGTTCCCTAGTGGGAACGCTTCCTAGGGCCCACCACGATATATTTTTTTTTTCCTGCCCGGAGCGCGCTTCGCTCCTGCCCGAGTCGCGCCCCGTGTGCCCTCCCTACCGTCGCGCCCTCTCACGGCCCCTCACGGACCCTTCGCGTCGCCCTTAGCGGCCCCTCTCGCGGCCCTTCGCGGCCCCTTACGGCCCTTCGCGCCGCCCTTACGGCCCCTCGCGCCGCCCTTACGGCCCCTCGTGCCGCCCTTACGGCCCCTTACAACCTCTCGCGCCGCCCGTCGGCCCCTCGCGCCGCCCTTAGCGGCCCCTTACGGCCCCTCACGCCGCCCTTACGGCCCCTTACGGCCCCTCGCGCTGCCCATCGGCCCCTCGCACCGCCCTCGTTGGCCCCTTACGGCCCCTCGCGCCGCCCTCGTAGGCCCTTTACGGCCCCTCTCGCCGCCCTCGTCGGCCCCTTACGGCCCCTCGCGCCGCCCTCGTCGGCCCCTTACGGCTCCGTCGCTGCCCTCCCCAGCCCCTCCACAACCGAGCCGCCGAGCCGCCCAGCAGCCGAGCAGCCGAGCCGCCCAGCAGCCGAGCCGCCGAGCAGCCGAGCCACCGAGCCGCCCAGCAGCCGAGCTGCCGAGGCTCCTAACAAGCCGCTACCACCGTTGTTTCAACCCTGTTTCTACCGGCGCGCCCCGACCCTACCCACTCGGACTGGTGAGAGCACTCCCTGCTAGACCACTGCTGTCATGGCTGCCCCCAGTGTCCTTACCTTTGATGCTGAGGGTCGTGCTGTTGACCTCAAAGTCTGGGTCAATGACCTCTAGCTTTTCCTACAGTGCGATAGGGCAGACGGTCTCTCCCCGTTCGATCTCACCTCTGTTGTCTCTCCTGCCCCGCCTGCTAGTGCTAACAGCACTATTCGCTCATAGTGGGCCACACGCGATGCTGCTCCACGTCTTGCTGTGCGTCGCCACTTACCGACCGCTGACCGTGCGCACTTTAGTCAGTACAAGAGTGCTAAGACCTTGTACGACGCTGTAGCTGCACGCTACTCTTCCCCTGCCACTGCTGCTCTTAGCCGCCTCATACTGCCGTACCTGTTCCCTGACCTTGCTGCCTTTCGCACAGTCGCTGACCTCATTACGCACCTTCGCACTAGTAACACTAGCTACCGCGCAGCGCTTCCTGCTGAGTTCTGCGCCAAGAACCCTCCCCCCATGTTCATCACCCTCTACTACATAGTCACCCGGCTCCCGGACTCCCTTCGCGTAGTCAGGGACCTCTTCCTCTTAGTTTGCCCCACCACACTCACCGTTGACCTCCTCGAACTGTGCCTCCTGGCAGCAGAGAAGAATATAGTTGCTGTAGGAGCCTCTTGAAGTGACCCGCGTGCCCCTATCTTTGAGGGGTGCTCCCCCTCCCCCCTTTGGCCCTCTGTTACCTCTACTGCTGCCGTCGACTTCGTTGGCACCGAGTCGGTCGGCGCTGCGTCTGCCCCTAGTGAACGACGTCGCACCGGCAAGGGCAAAGGGGGCAAGGGCGCTGGAGGGGCTGGCGGGGGCGGTGGAGGTGGAGGTGGAGGAGGCGGAGGGAGTGGGGGTGGTGGTGGGGGTGGTGGCGGGGGTGGGGGCTTCGGTGGCGGCAGTCGCGGCGAAGGCGGCGACGGCGGTGGCGTTGGGAGCGGAGAAGGAGGCAGTGGCGGCGGTGGCGGAGGTGGCGGCGGAGGAGGTGGAGCTAGTCGGGGTGGCTCAGGTAGTGATCAGCGCCAGCAGCAGCAGCGCACTACTGAGACCCCGTCCCCCCAGCAGCTTCGTGAGTGGTACACTGCGCGTCAGCGAGGTGGGGGTGCTGGTCCCTGTACATACGTTCTCCGTACCGGCGACCGAGCAAGTGAGCAGTGCGGGGGCTTGCACTCCACCCGGCGCTGCTTCGGCCGCCTGACGGACGCTTTGCGTGACCAGTTCCCTGACGCCACTGAGATCCCTCGCTGGGGAGAGCTGTCTAGGGCGGGGGTTGCTATCTTTGATGTTGACTATGATGCTATTCTTGCAGCCATGTATACTGTGTCTACTAGTGATGGGGGTGACTGTTACCTGTGTCTTCCGCCTGACCCGTGCATTGAGGCTGCTGCTCTAGGTGCTGGTGAGACTGGTGCTCTAGGTGCTAGTGCGTCTGCTGCCCCAGGTGCTGGTGAGTCTGCTCTCTCAGGTACCACGTCGGCTCAGGCCTTACACACCTTCACCCTTGACTCGGGTGCTTCCCGCTCCTTCTGTCGAGACCGCACCACGCTTACGCCGCTTAGTCGGCCGGTTGCGGTCTCCCTGGCGGACCCCTCTGGGGGTCCTGTCCTTGCTCGCTTCTCCACTGTCTTACCGTGTCCGGCAGCCCCCTCTGGCACCCTGTCAGGTCTTTACCTCCCCTTGTTCTCTACGAACTTGGTGAGTGGTGCTGATCTACACGACCAGGGGGTTGACCAGTTTACTCCTGCGAGTCAGCGGGTGACCCACTGCACGTGTGCTCGGACAGGCCGACACTTGGCCACGTTTACCCGTCGACCGGGGTCGAGCCTATACACACTGACCACTGCGTCTCCTCCGGTTGCTGAGTCTGGTCAGGTAGCTGCGTCGAGTCAGGTGTTTGCTGCAGCGTCCAGGTCTGGTCCTGAGTCTGCTCCTTGCTCGTGTCGTCTCCTGTCCCACCTGACTCTCCTTTGGCACCACCGCCTTGGTCACCCCTCCCTGCCTCGTCTCCGAGGCATGGCCTCCCGTGTCCTTGACTCTGGTCTCCCCCGGTCCCTCCCTCCCCTACCTCCGGGGCCTGCCCCTACCTGCGTTCCCTGCGTCGAGGGGCGGCAGCGCGCCACCCCTCACTCCTCCGAGTTTCCTCCGACAGCGGCTCCCCTGCAGACTTTTAAGATGGACGTGTGGGGCCCTGCCCGCGTCCGTGGCCAGGGTCACATCGTTACTTCCTGTTGCAGGTTGACGACTACTCGCGTTACACCACGGTATTCCCCTTGCGCAGCAAATATGACGTCACAGAGGTGTTGATCGACTGGATCCGTGCAGCTCGTCTCCAGCTTAGAGAGAGTTTCGGCTCGGACTTTCCTGTTCTGCGTCTGCACTCTGACAGAGGCGGAAAGTTTTCCTCTGCCCGTCTGGGAGCCTTCTGTCGTGCACGAGGCATCTGCCAGACCTTCACGCTTCCGGCCTCTCCACAGCAAAATGGGATTGCTGAGCGCCGCATTGGCATGGTCATGGATGTTGCTCGTACGTCCATGATCCATGCGGCTGCTCCCCATTTTCTGTGGCCGTTTGCGGTTCAGTATGCAGCGCATCAGCTCAACCTTCAGCCCTGAGTCTCCTTGCCAGAGACCTCCCCTCACCTTGCGGTGGATGGGGAAGGTTGGCGATGCGTCTGCATTTCGGGTCTGAGGATCTCGGGCGTTTGTCCGCGACTTGTCTGCGGACAAGCTGTCCCCCCGTGCTGTTCCCTGCGTCTTCTTTGGCTTCCCCCCTGACGCGCCTGGTTGGCAGTTTTACCACCCCACCTCGCGCCCTGTTCTGTCCTCCCAGGACGTCACCTGTGACGAGTCTGTGCCTTACTACCATCTCTTCCCCTACCGTACTGCGCCCCTCCCCCCCCCATCGCTCTTCCTTGCGCTAGGTCCTCCCTCGGTAGACCCTCTCCCCCCTCAGGGTCCTGCCCCGTCAGGTGTGTCCCAGGTAGACGCAGTCGAGCCTGCCGAGGTAGCTAGTGACTCTGGTGCTGCTAGGGGTACTGAGCCTGGGGATGTTGAGTCTGGGGGTGCTGAGTCTAGGGGTGCGGAGCCTGGGGGTGCTGAGCCAAGGGGTGCTGAGCCTTGGGGTGCTGATCCTGAGGGTGCGGAGCCTGGGGGTGCTGTGCCTGTTAAGTGCAAATTCACATTGCACGACATCCTGCCGTTTGTTAGGACGAGTATGCGTGTGCGAATGCATTTGGGTATGAATGGAATGTTCGTGTGTTTGTTTGCTTTCGTATTTTTCGCTTGAAACATTTGCAGGTTCTCACGCATTGTGCGCTTCGGCATAACATTGTACGCGCTATGAACAGTACAAGCAGAAAGGACGAGCTCGCAAAGGAACCCAAGATGGAAGCTTTGCGGTTTGGCTTACTTGATTGCGCAGATTCAGTTCTATCCAACTCGAATTTGTACTGTTTTGTTTGGTTGACTATAGTGTAGCAGGGCAGGCACTATAGGGGTACAATTTAGGTGAAGGTTGGATGTTGTTTGTCTGTATCTGCATGCTACAGGGCCAGGGGAAACCAGTGGAACCAGCATTTGGCTGGTTGGGCAAAGACAAAACAGGTTCTGTTATTAGGACCTGAACCTGGTTGTTGTTTTCCTAGGTTGGAAAAACAGAACCAGAGGTTGTTTACCAACCTACCACCTGCTGTTTTGTCCAGCCAGGTTGGTTATGTTGCTTGGAATCATTTGGGATCATCCTTAGTTGTTCCCAGGTTTATTCCCAAGGTCCATGCTAGCTAGAACTATATATTCCTTCTCTCTTTTTACCTGAATATAGTCAATTTGATTCAAGCGAATTCCTTCTTTGCTGGAATTTCCTTTCTACGCGGTGCGACGGCGGAATGCTACCCGAGTCAACGCTAGTACGCTAGCACTCCAACACTAGGCAAACAGTGTCCGAGCCATAACTTCGTAATGGCAGAACTTTTCGCGAGGCAACTTGGTTCATTTTAAAGCTCTTGGAGCGAGCTTCGATATAGGAAATTCTCAGCTTAATCCGGTCGACGGTCTGCACGATACGCTGCGCGACGTTCAAGGTACTCTTGCTGTTTTGACTTGATCCCTCTCTCTACAAACTTGGACCCGAGGGTAGGGGCTGGTCTTGTACCAGGCACCCAAGGACCCTTGGAGGTGACCCCGAGGAGAGGTTTTAAGTTTGATAAAGTCTTAATAGCTTGAGTTTATTAGGCCCTTACACCAACAAGCTGGTATCAGAGCTGCGTTATAGTGTTCCTCGATATAGGTAGCTTTGGCGGGCAACACTTTGACAGGAGCTGGTGAATCTTCAGCCCAAGATCATAGCGGCAGCCATGATTCTGGTGTTTCAGCACCAAGGGGAGCACGAACAAACCAGGGCTTGCTGGTCAAGGAGGTGCTGAACAATTTCACCGTCGAGAAGTTCAATGGTGAGGGCTATGATGATTGGGCCTGGAAAATGTAACTCTATTTCCGTCAGATTGGATTGCTGAAACTAATTATTGGGGAGCAGCCTAGACCGAGTGACCCCGCGCTGCAGGAAGATTGGGACGAGCGCTCCTCGGCTGGCTACTATTTGATGTCTCAGAGTTTGGAGCTGAACCAGCGTCACCACGTCATGCACCTGCTGCCGGAGGTTGAGTGCGGTCCGAAGGCGTGGACGGTGTTGAAGGAGCTGCACGCCCCGACCTCCGTTGTTGCAACATTGATGCTGGAGAGGGAGCTGTCCGCGTTGCGCTTGAGCGAGGGAGAGCCGGTGCAACCTGTCCTGGACAAATTGCGCGACCTCTACGCGAAGTTGGCGACCGCGGGAATCACCTACCCGGAGCAGACCAAGAGTTTGAAGATGCTCTCGCTGCTGCCGAAATCGTGGCTTCAATTCACGAGCGGATTGAGCCTGCCGCAGAACCAGAGCTCGTGGACTCTTGAGTGGGTCCTGACAAAGATTCTAGAGGAGGACTTCCGTCGCCGTCAACTGAGGGGTGGAGACGATGGCAGCAGCGGCTACAGAATGCAAGGGAACTGACGTGGCAGAGGACGTGGCTTCGGTGGTGCTGGACGCGGTGCAAAGAAGGACGACGACTCCAACGACCAACAAGGAGGTACCAGTTGGGGTCGCGGTGCGAAATCTGGACGTGGGGGCAAGTCGGGTGCTGGTGGCAAAATGAAAGGGAGTTGCTGGTATTGTGAGAAGGAGGGGCACCCCTGGTTTTTGTGCTATAAGAAACCCGATGGATGGACCCCCCAGAATCGTCACCAGGATGGCAGCGCGCGGAGGAACCAGAAAAACGGCGCGAGCATGGTCGCTGATTCGTCCGACAACAACCCCAAGAGCAACGGCGGTGCGGAAAAGAAGAAGGAGCGCACCGCTTGCCAGTTCTTCCATATTGGAGAGCAGGGGGAGCAGGGGGAGCAAGGAGACGCCTCTGCCAAGGTTGGAGCAGAGCTGCACCCCCTGGATTATTGGGTGTTGGACACGGGCGCTGCTTGGACAATGACGCCGCGAAAAGACCTGCTGGACCACGTACGAGCTACACCGATCAACGAGGTGTGCTCCGCCTCTGGACACGCGCTGAAGGTGGCTGGTGCGGGACGAGCTGCGTTTAAGGGAGCGGATGGCAAGCCGGTGGTGCTGCACGACGTTCTTCTTGTTCCTGAACTCAAGGCCAACCTCATCTCCCTCCGTAAGCTTGGCAAGTCTTGGGTGAGCACTAGCACGGATGGAGCACGCACTTACAAGGGGCAGCTGGGCAATCGGGTGCTTTGGGATCTGCATAAGAGTACGGACGTGTACAGATCCATGTGGCAGCTGCCAGCGTTGGCGTGGCATGGTGGGGGGCAGGCTGGAGAGGGGTCTGCATCCCAGGGGGAAAGCAACGCTGTTGGAGGGATTGATGTGAAAGTGTTGGCCAGATCTGGGGAGATGGATTGGGCAACGGCACACCGACGCTTGGGCCATGTGGAAATGCCCTTGCTGAAGCAGTTGGAGAAGGATGGAGCCGTTAAGGGTCTGAAGCTGAATAGACAGCCACCTGATGAGAATTGTGAAATATGTTTGCTCTCAAAGTTTAACCATTTCCCTTGCCTTTGTGTGGCTGGCAGGAGCAAGAAGCCGTTGGAGCTGGTCCACATGGACTTGGTGGGGCCGCTGCCGGTTCAGGGACACAAGGGGGAGCGGTACTTTCTGACCATAGTCGATGATTGGAGCAGGCTTATGTGGGCATATCCGCTGATGCAAAAGGACCATGCCGCCTCTACAATACAGGAAGATTGGCTGCCATTCGTGGAGAAGCAAGCGGAGTGTATGGTGAAGCGGATTAGGACAGATCGAAGTGGTGATTTCCTTGGAGTTGAGATGACGGCCTGGCTCAAGAAGCAGGGCATCCAGAGGGAGCTGACCACGGCTTACACCCCACAGTCTAACGGTGTAGCAGAACGGGCGAACCGGACAATTCTGGAGACAGCTAGGGCGCTGCTCATAGAATCTGGGCTGGGCAACTCCATGTGGCCCCATGCTGTTCGGCACGCTACCGTCGCTAGGAACAGGGTACTCACAAAGGTTGGGGATGAATCGTGGGTGCCGTTGGAGAGGTGGCTTGGGAGGAAGCCGCCGGTGGACATGCGGAGGGTGTTCGGTTGCATGGCAGTCGCCCACGTCCCCAAGACCTACCGCAGTAAGTTGGGGGCGAGTGCAATCTGGTGTATGCATTTGGGGCTGGCTGCTAAGAGCAAGGGATGGCTGCTGTGGGAACCTTCCAAGGGTGTGTTGTTTGACAGCAGGGATGTGAAGTTTGTTGAGGGCATGGTGTATAGGAGCTGGGAGAAACAGCCGGAGGCCAGGGTGTCCCAGCAGATGGAGCAGATCACCATGCAGCTGGACCTGACTCCTAGTGAGTGGGAGGAGGGAGAGGAGGCAGCTGCAGAGGGTGGTGATGGAGAGAAGGTGCAGGAGGCACCTGCTGGTGGAGAAAATGATGTGGAGACTGGCACTATTGGAGCTGCTGGATCTGAAGGGAGAAAGCAGCTGCACGGGAAAACAAAGAAGCCAAATGGTGTCGTTATGGAGGGATGGGAGACACCCGTCTCCAGGCCAGGACGTACCCGTATGGCTACTAAGAAGCTGACTGCAGGAGCTGATGTAGCGGAGCAGCAGCTTGGGACCGAGGAGGCATTGCTGATTCTACCGCATGGCTATGATCCCGATGAGGAGGATAAACCTGCCTACTGTTTTCTTGCCCCTGCACCAGAGGAACCAGCTAGCATGGAGGAGGCATTAGGTGGACCAGATAGGAGGAAGTGGCTGGTTTCCAAGGATGCTGAGTACCAGAGCCTGCTAGAGAATGTGACATGGGAGCTGGTGGTGCTGTCTGAGGGGAAAAAAGCCGTACAGTGCAAGTGGGTGCTAAGGATCAAGACCGATAACAAGGGAAAGGTCACCATCTACAAGAGCAGGCTGGTGGCTAAGGGGTTTATGCAGAAGGAGAAGCGGGACTTCAATGAGATCTTTGCTCCCACTGCCAAACCCCCTACCCTCTGTGTCTTGTTGGCAGATGCAACCGTTAGTGGGAAATTCATCATTCAGATGGATATATCAA